GCGGGGCCTGCACGGGCCAGCCTGGCCAATCGCCGTGTGGCCTCGCCTTGGGCTGCCCAATAGGACGGTGGTGGGCGGGGCGGCGTTCAAGGTGAGGTGCGCGGTGCGCTGGGGGCGGAGACGTTATGCCGTCCCGGCCGGCTCGGGGGCGGGGGCAGCGGGTGGCGTCGAAAGAGAGCGCCGGCTCCCAGCCGAGCATGGGACGCCTTCCGGCCCAGGCTCCCCCGCCCTTTCCTCGGGCTCCCGGTCCTTTCCCCTCCCCTCTCCCGGCGTTTACCCCGGAGCGTGTAGCCACTTCTGTGAAGGGGCCGGAGTTAAGAGTGGGGCGCGGCTAGGGCCTCCGAGTAGAAAATCCAGGGGGTCGTAAGAGTCTCCGCTCTCCCAGTTTCCAGGCGGGTGTCGGTCCACCCCAGGCCTGCGAATGTAAAAGCGCCCGAGATTGGGGTCCTCTGCGGAGGGCGGGAGCCCAGCCGAACCCTCCTGAACGGAGCGCCCTCCCGGTCCTCATCCTAATTTAGATCCCACACCTGCTCGCCTTTCCTGCTTCCGGCACCCACGCCGGACCCCCACCTCTCAGCCTTGCAGGCATTGGCCCGACCCTTCCTCCCACTCAGTGCTACGCCCCTGGGTGTGCCCGTGCACGCCCGCTGCCCTCCGCTCGCAGTTCCCCCCTTTACCTACTGCACGCAGGGACCCTTGCTTCCCACGAGCGGTAGGTGTCCAGGCGGTCTTGATTACTCAGTGCCTGGAACCGGTGTGTGACAGTCCTCTCTCCTGTAGAGATAAAATTAAAGACAGTCGTAAACCACATCACTTGGGAGCATCGTTGGCTCTTTGGTTTAAGCAAACATTCATGCCTCGATCGTTAAGATCAGGAATCGGATCTGAATCTGAATGTCTCCATGATGTGGACTTGAGCAGTTCTCTATGCCTTGCTTCCCTCCTTTGTAAAGTGGTGTGATGATGGTACCTATTAGGTTGTTGTGAGGATTAAAGTCAATACATGTGGACGTCAGTGTAAGTGGGCAGCAAGTTGGACAAGCAATCGCACTCCAGGTGCTGGGATACAAAGATGAAGTAAGGCGGTTGTATTTCCTCAAGAAGTTCACTGTCCTGTGAGACAGACCTATAGCAAAGTAATTACAAAACGGTGTAATTAAAAACGAGAGAGAGAGAGAGAGCATTGGGCTCAGAAGTGGCCAGGAGAAGGTGGCTACATAAAAGGATGTCAGTGGAGGATGTCAAATAACTCATGGTTATGCGTTGGGCTGCTAACCACAAGGTCAGTAGTTCAAAACCACCAGCAGCTCTGTGGGAGCAAAATGAGACTTTCTCCTCTATAAAGAGGGTCTCTGAAACCCACAGGGGGCAGTTCTACCCTGTTCTATAAGATCACTATGAGTCAGCATCAACTGGATGGAAGGGAATATTTTTTTGTTGAGAATAGTTTAGAGTAGAGACCTGGTGGTTTCATAGTTGTGCATTGGACTGCTAACCGGGTCGTCAGCAGTTCAGAACCACCAGCTGCTCCTCTGGAGAAAGACTTTCTACTTATAAAAAGTTGCAGTCTCTAGGATCTACATATAACCACCTCTCTGGGGGATGGACAACAGAAAAGTGGGTGAAGGGAGACGTTGGACAGTGTAAGATATGACAAAACAATAATTTATAAATTATCAAGGGTTCATGAAGGAGGGGAAGTGGGGAGTGGGGGAATGAGCTGATAGAAAGTAAATGTTTTAAGAATGATGGCAACAAATGTATAAATGTGCTTGTCACAATGGGTCTATGTATGGATTGTGATGAGAGTTACGAGCCCGCAATAAAATTAATTTTAAAAAAAAGTTGCAGTCTCAGAAACCCTCAGGGGCAGGTCTACCCTGTCTTGTAGGGTTGCTGTGAGTCAGAATCCACATGATGGCAGTGCGTTTGAGTTTTGTAGAGCAGAAATGATAGGGAACGCCAGATGATTGAACTGACCCATCTTGTTATCAGCTCCTCATCTCCCCTCCCCCACCAGCAGTGTTTTGTGTAACAGTGTGTGAGGTAAGGAGCAAGGTGACCTTCCCTAAAAATCTTTTAACCAGGATAAGGCCTTCTGAGGAGGAGACCGGGCACAGAATGATGAGAAGTTTAATTTGGGCTATGTTGGGGTTGCTGTGGGACCTTCTGGTGGAGACTCTCAGAAAGTGATTAGATTTGATTCTAGAGCAAAGGAGTGAGATCAGGCTTTCTGAAGCCTCCATTGTGTGGTCTCTGCTTCCCTTTTGAGCTCTATCGCTCACCCTCGCCTTCGGGAATTCTCCATTCCAGTGAGGCCCCTCTGTTCTTCATCCCCAAACAAGCCCTCTTACATGTGACACTCATGATGTTCCATGATTTCTACCTTCTGTTGGGTCACCATAAATACAGATCTTTTCCAGTCCATTGGCTAAGCAGCTGCCTTCCAAATTCCCTGACACCTTCTCAAAACCAAACTCAGGGCCATCGAGTCAATTCTGAGTCATAGTGGCCCTCTAGGGCAGAAGAGATAGGCCCTTCTGGGTTTCTGAGACTAACTCTTTACAGGCATAGAGAACCTCATCTTTCACCTGCAGAGCGGCTGGTGGTTTTGAACTGCTGACCTTGTGGTTAGCAGCCATCAGAACTCCTCTTTGACACCCCCTAGCACTACATAAATGCCTCACAAACTCTGGACATGTTAGCAGGAGGAACCAGTCCTGGGAAAGGACATCATGCTTGGTAAAGTAGAGGGCCGGTGAAAGATAACCTCAACCAGATGGACGTACCAGTGACTACAACAATGGGCTCAATCATGGTCATGAATGTGAGGATGGATGGTGCAGGACCCAGCAATGTTGTTGTTGTTTTTCCGGTTGTACATACAACAAAATATGTCCCCTATGTCCTGCCCCAAAGCACTTGCTCCTGACTGGGAAGCCTCCCTAGCGTTTCCGTTGACCTGACTTTCCCTCACAATCCCACTAATAGCCAGCCTCCCATTGAACTCTGCTATGACTTGGTCCTTGCCCTGGGCCCCTCACAGTGGTGACCTTTTAGGGCATGTGCCCAGTCATGTCATGGGTCTGGTTCTAGGTGTGGGCTTGAGCCTACAGCATGCAGTGGTTCTCAACCTGTGGGTCGCGACCCCTTTGGGGGGTCGAAGAACCCTTTCACAGAGGTCGCCCGATTGATAATAGTAGCAAAATGACAGTTATGAACTAGCAACGAAAACAATGTTATGGTTGGGGGGTCACCACAACACGAGAAACTGTCTGAAAGGGTCGCGGCGTGAAGAAGGTTGAGAGCCACTGCTCAAGAGACACGCAGGCTACACCTTTATGCAGCTTTCAGCTCAGCAGCGCCTGGCTTGGAACAAACAAGTGTGAGCGTGAAGGCATCCAGGCTGCTAAGGAGGCGCAGCATGAAAGAACTAGCCGGGATTAGGAACAGCCCCCTTGAAGAAGTGGAGCCCTGAGGTAACCAGGTGGAGAGGTGCAGAACTTTGCAGGCAAGGGAAGCGGCCTCGATGCAGCCTCTGGAAGAAGGTGCGCCGGATCAGCCGCATGCAAGGCCTCAAGTATGGCTGGAGTGGGGGCTGAGAGGCCTTGAGGGCCCTTCAACAACTCTCCTGGGTCCCTACCATGTACTGATTTTAGGTGCTGGAATCATTATAGTGAAGAAGCAGGTAAGAGAGCGAGCTAGTAAGTAAATAAATGATCTAAGTATGGGAAGGTAGGGGACATCTACTCGTCAGTGATCAAGGAAGGCCTGTATCTACTGGTGACGTTTGAACTGAATCCTGAAGGATGAGAAAAGGGAAATAGCATTGTGGGCCGAGAGCAACAAACGCAAAGGCCCCGTGGTCGGCAAGTTGGAGGAACGGAGAAGTGATTGATCATCACAAGCCATGGGGACTGGTGGAGCAAGAGAGTGGGAGAATGGAGCAGGGGCCTGGCCTGGTGAGGCCACACTAAGACCTGAATGTGATTCTCAGTAGAATGGGGATGGTTTGAAGAGCAAGTCATCAAATCAGAATTTGGCTGCTGTGTGCGGAATGAACTGTAGGGGGCCAGAGTGTCCGAGGCTTTTGGCAGATGTTGAGCAAGGATGATTTTAAATAGGGTTGGAAGCCGTGGAGCCGGGTGGACAGATCTGACAGACATTTAGAATAGGATGGGTAGGGATCCGTGATCATGTAGAGGTGAGGGAAGATGAGGAATCACGCCGACACCCCCGGTTTGTAGATTGAATGACTTGATAGCTGGTGATCAGTGGGCCCTGGAGCCTGAGGGACCTGCACGGTCTCCCAGAGAATACAGTGGGTAGACTAACAACAGCCTCTGTACATACCGTGTGGGGAGCGGTTCCGGGGGACATGCACCAAGCACAGGAGTGAGGAGCCAACACCAGCAGAACAGACCAAGGCAAGACGTGGACAAGCTCCCGTCCACTGGACGTAATGAGGTACATGCTGTTAAGCTTATAAAACCAGTGCGAGGGGGTGGGCACACAAGACCCTCAAGAGCAAGGTGTCTAGTTGAGGTGACTCATGAACAGTGCCTGTTAGGCGGTGCTAGTTCCAGAATCCCAGCCAAGGTCTCAACCAGAGGGCAAGTCGGCCCAGCCCAACCCCGCCTGCTTCCCATCAGAAGCCTGGGTGGAGTTAGGAGTCATCCCTAACCTAAGGTGGGGCTGGGCTTAAGGTGGGAAGGGTAGCCCCTCTGCCATTATAAGCCCTATATCCCCACCTTCCCAAAGCACTCTGGGAATGTCATGATTCCCCAACTCCTCGGACTCCTAAGTGGTCCTGATGAACTCACAACTGGCCGAGCACAACAACTACACAGGGAGCTGTCTTGAAGGGAGGCGGTCTTTGGAGCCTTCAGGCAAGACCAGCCAAACCCAAAGCGGGAGCAGGTTCTAAATACAAGAGCCTTTCCTCCTCATACCTGCCCCCACCCTCAAGTCAGTTCAGTGACCAGGAAGCAGTGCATTTTTTTTTTTCTTCACTTTATTGTACAAAAAAAAAAAAAAAGGAAAAGAAAACTTCCACAGTTGGCCTTAAGCTTAGGCAAGACACCTCTAAGCCGTGCCCTTCCACCTCCCAGGATACAAACTCAAGTTGTGGTGGTGTTGAAACCTACAAAACACTTCTTTAAATACTAAAGGGGGGGAGGGAAGTGGGGATGCTCCCACCTCATCCCAGTGCCAAAATGCACTGAGTCACCTCTTACAGCACCAACGCCCCCACCCCCATGGCCCTGGGCACACTGTAAGAATTGTTTGTAAAATCTGATGCAGGGTGGGGAAAAGTCTGCTTGAAGTTGTTTGTAAATGAATACATTCCACTAAAGCACCGTGGCCCGTGGCCCGAGGACATTGGGCTCCTCACCTTCCCACACTGGGACTGGGACAAAGGGGAGTGGGGTGAGCAGTGGGCCTCTCCAGCTGCCCCCACCCCACGTGAAGCAGATTGTCTCTGGCTAGCCTTGGGCCAGGGGCCCCCACTAGCCACAGTAGGGGATTGGGGACCCTCTCCTTTGTCTTCTTCCCACACCCCATCCCACCTGGAGTTCCCACTTTTCTGACACCCCTTGGTTTTCATTGTGGGGGAAGGGGGGTAGGTAGAAAAGCAAAAAGCCCCTATTAAATAGGTCACTGACATGATTGTTTAAATCTAAATTTTGTACAAAAAAAAATATATATCCACAGAGACAAAGTGGCTTGGCTTGTTAAAATTCAAGGACTCAAGGTACCAAAACCTTTGGGAGGGGCTGGGCAGGCAGGGACAGCCACAGGGGCTGTGTGGCAGCCCTCTTCCCCAGCGGTGAACTGGCGGGAGCGGGGCAGACCTGAGAAATCAAAGGTTGGGTGGGGGTGGGGGGGCTGAGGACTGGAGGAAGGCAAGAGGGATGTGTTTTAACTAAAGACACTGGACACCTTCCTGACGCCCAGATCCTGTGCGGGCAGATGGGCTGACCTCTGCCACCAGAGTTGAAGGCAAGTTCACCATTTGTCTGCCTGTCCACTTCCCTCCCGCAGGCCAGGATAGAGACCGGCAGTAGCTAAGATGGTCCCCAGGGCGCTCCAGGAGGGGGAACTGGTCAGGAAGCATCCTGTGGCTGAAGTACTCCCCCAAAGTCAAATCAGAGACTAGGCAAAGTAGAGGACGGAGGAAGGGCAGCCCAGTCTCACCGGGATGGGATGTCTCCCTGGCTCTCCACACACCAACCCTTTTTCCAATTTCACCAACAAAGACTGAGGTGGGCTCCGGGATAGACCCCCTTCCCCACTCTCTCACACTCACACACATTCGCATACACGCACTCAGGCAGCCACAGGTGCACCAGGCTATGTACAGGCCGCGCGCACACTCACACACCAAGACCGTTTTTTAAAAGTCCCGCAGCTACCCCCTAAGCCCTCCCTCTCCCAGAAATGACAACAGAGACGGTAGCCGAGATCGGTAGGAAACGTCTCGTTGACAGCTCAGAGCTTAAAAAAAAATATATACACATATATAAAAAACACTTCTGCCCCTTGCCCGCCGCGAGTGGGTTCAGGCAGCTCCTTCCTGCAGGGGACAGGGGAGAGGGGGAGATGGGCACTGCCTGTTTGCTCCAAGGCACCGCACCACCTCTCCCCACAGGTTCCCTGCCTCCAGTTCCAATGTGGGGGTGGGGAGTTGGGGGTCGGGGCTGGGCGGCCAGCACAGGGGAGGACGGGGTCCTGCCCAGCTTCCACCCACCCCGCCTGCCTCAGCTTGGGCTGCAGGTGTGGACCCCAACCCCCCCCCCCACGCCCGCGCCCGTCCCGGCCCCTGGTCCATTGTCCATGCCGGAACCGGAACCGAGTGCAGCGGAGTGCCGGCTCAGTCTGCGCTGCGCTCCCTGGAGGCCCCCCAGGGCAGCCAGCTGAGGCTGCAGCGCCCTGGCCTGGGCTTCTCCAGCCCCCCTCCCCCCCACATTTTGTTTTTAAAAAAAGAGAGACAGAGAAAGAAAAAGTGGGGGGAGGCCAGGGGGCAGGGGGCAGAACATGGGGGGGGGGCAAAGGTGGTCAGGCGGGGAGGGGAGCCCCCACGGCGAGCGGGCAGAGGCGGGCCTCTCCCTGGTGTCCTGGGCGGGCGGGGGCCTCAGTTGGAGTCCGAGTCCGAGGAGTCCCCGGAGGAGGAGGAGCTGGAGCTGCTGCCCTCAGACTCATTGTCCTCGTCGTCGTCATCATCCTCGTCGTCGTCGTCGTCCTCGTCGTCCTCCTCGTTCTGGGGGAAGCAGGGGGCGGGGCGCGCGGTCAGCGGTCAGCGGCAGGCCCGCTCCCCCCGCAGCAGGTCCCCGCACAGCACAGGGCTGCGCGCTCTGCCCGCCCACCTGGCTCACCTCATCGCCATCCTCGCTCTCATCCTCGCTACTGGACTCGGAGGAGTCCCCACCATCCTCGGAGGAGTCCCCGCCATCCTCCTCCTCCTCCTCTTCATCCTCCTCCTCCTCCTCCTCATCCTCCTCGTCGTCCTCCTCCGACTCCTGGGGAGGGGATGAAGGGGCCGCTCAGAGGCTGAGGGCTCATGCACAGGACCCCCCACCTAGGCCTGGGGGCAGGGTCCTTACCGACTTGGACTGCAGAGTAGTCCGGCTGGACTTGGGGTTCGGGCCTCGAAGCTTGGTCATGCTCTTGCGTTTCTGCCGGGGAGGACGAGGTAGCCGTGAGGGCCAGCCTGAGACAGCCCCCGGACCCCATGCCGCCACCCTGCCCCCCAGACTTACGTTGGAGATGTACTCTTTGTATGCTGCTCGGTCCTGGGGAGACAGGCTCTGGGGGGACAGAGGGAGAGGGCGGAACATTTCATGGGTCACCAGTCCTTGTTTACCCACAACCACCGCCACTGCCACCTTACAGACCACAAACTATAGATGCCGTCCCTCCATCCTAGAGCCAGGAAGGGGAGGCCCTGGGGATGTGAACCAGGTGTGGTTGCTCCAGAACTCAGGCTCTGAACCAGTTTCATACCGCTCCCACCCGAGCCCACCGAATGAGCCATCCCCATCTTGACTGAAGTCCACCCGCTCCCCACTTTGAGTCTGAGTGTTTGCAGAGAGCCCCTGAGACCCGAGAGCGGAGCACCAGGGTGGCTTTCTGCTTAGAATGACCTCAGGTCCCTCCTGGGTCTTCCCAAAGTACCCGTACACCTGCTGCTCCCCCCTCCCCCCAGTCCCATAGCCTGACATCAGCCCCTGGAGGAGGCAGTCTGGGGCCCACCAACTTTCCAGAAATAACCCGTGTGCCGAGGGGGCTGGGGAGGTCATAAATTCTCTCCCCAGGTTCCAGGTCTGACTGGTCAATGTTCAGAGGCTGCGACCAAGCCCGAGTCCATGAAAAGCCTCCCGGTTCCCCCCGTCCCCAGGGTGATGGACCACAGAAACATGGGTGAAGGGAGACAGCGGATGGTGTAAGATATGAAAATAATAACAATCGATAATTTATCAAGGGTTCATGAGAGTGGGAAGATAGGGGAAGGAGAAAACAATGAGGAGAGCTGATACCAAGGGCTCAAACAGAAAATGTTTCGAAAACAATGATGGCAACATATTGTACAAATGTGCTGACACAATAGATGTATGGATAGTTCTAAGGGCTGTAAGAGCCCCCAGTAAACTGATTTCTTAGAAATATAAAAAACAAACCCTTACTGATAAAGATACACGGAAAAAAAGTCTCCTGGTCCCAGCTAGAGGGAAAAGGCAATCGGACTTGATTATGAGCTATGTGACCTTGAACACATTACTTGACCTCTCCGAGCCCCTAGTTCCTTCATCTGTGAAAGAGTGAGGGGGATCCTTGGGCCTGCCGGGCACTGAGTGATAAATGAAGACCAACCTACATGCTGCTGCCCACTTCCTGTCAGCGGCTGGGCCTGCTCACCTTGACCCAGAGGTCCAGGTGCACCTTGTACTGCTTCTGCTGCTCTTCCGCTAGCTTCTTGTAGTGCTCCTTCTGGCTTTGGGAGATGCGCTGCCAGCGGCTGCCGATCTCCACCATGCGCTCCTTCAGGGGCAGGTGGTTGAGCTCCCCGTTGGACAGCAGCTCCTGGGAGAACTTCTGATAACCGTTCCTGGGAGGCGGGGAGGGTGCAGGGTGGGTTTTTCGCAGCTCCTCGAAGCAGCCTCTAGCTGTGGGTCTCTCCACCCCAAGCCCCAGAGCGGGTGGGTCTCAGCCCCCAGACTCACATGGGAGGCTTCTTCGGTTCTCCCTGAAACTTCATCTTCTTTGAAGAATTGGCAGCAGCCGGAGGGGCCCGCATCTCGCTCAGCTCTCTCTGCAGGGGTGGGAGATGTGACGTGGCAAAGTCTACACTAATCCTATCCTCAACTCCTGAACTATCCCTGCCTCGTGTGCCCGGAAAGAGCCACCGAGGCACCGCGGGACAGCAGTTTCTAACAGCTGTCCTGCTCCACAGGTGGGAAGCCCTTTCCGGTCGGCAGTCCCCACAACAAACAGTTGCTCTGGAGGCAAGGGGCCTGCCCACCCTGAGGAGAGCTCTGGAAGTTTCAGTAGAGGGGGTGGCCTGGCCCACTCAGACCCCCGCCCCGACCCCCACCCCGCTGCTCCAGCCAGCAGCCTCTTCCCCACCTCGTATCGCTTCTGGTCTTCAGCTGCCTTCTTGATCCACATCAGTTTCTCTTTCTTCTCCATGTTGTTCCAGGTCATCTCCATGGCCTTCAGGGCCTTCACCCGGTCATTCTGGGGACAGAGAGGGGCGTCAGTTGTGGGAGGGGTCATTAAGGGCCACAAGAGGCCTGCGTGGGCAGGCCGCAAGTGCGTCAGCCTGTGGCCACACACCTTGAAGCGAGCCAAATAGTCGCCGATGACGCTCTGCTGCCAGATCTCCTCCGCCCGCTTGGGGGACTCGGGCAGCTTGCTCCGCTCCTCACGCTCACCACCCGGCTTCCTCTCGGACTGGGCCTTCAGGGCCGCCTCCCTGGCCTTGTACTTGGCCTGCAGGGGGACAGCACAGCTGTCAGCCCCCGAGCCACCTCCAGGGGGCGTGCGCCCCATACCCAGCAGCATTGCAGCTGTCCAGGTGCCAGAGGTGGGGCAAGCCAAGGCCTGGGATGGGCCAGACGTCTCTCCCTCTTCCAAGTGGCTCAGCACCCCACTGTCCCTGTCCCCCCAGGGAGCTACCAGCCTAGTACACGAGCCAGGGCAAGGAAGAGCGGCTAGCCTGCAGGGAAGCGACTTCCGCCCTGACTTCACCGCGGCAGGCCTGACCTTCTTCTTCTCCGACAGGTCGTTCCACATGCGGGCCAGCAGGCGGGTTAGCTCGCTCTCGGAGAGCTCCGGCCGCTCTTCCTGCAGCTGCCGCCGCTTCTCTTCAGAAAAGATGAACATGGCCGACACGGGCCGCTTGGGCTTCTCTGATCCGCCCTGTTGGCGGGCAGAGAGGGCGGGGGTCCACAAGATGCACCAGGCACCCCGCCCCTGCCCCTCCTGATCCGTGGGGACCCCTGCTCACCTTGCCCCCCTCCTGGGAGGGTTTCTTGGATGCTGGGCTGGTGGCTTGCTTCTTGTTGATGCTCAACATCTTCTCCTCCCCCAGGACCCGCTGCTGCTCCTCCTCAGGCAGGCTCTAGGCAGGGAAGAAGTGGCTTTGGGGGCTGCACCCAGGGCCCTAGCCCTCTGGGAGCACCCCTAGTGGTTCTGGAGGCCCGCCTGGAGGAACACTCACCTCTAGAAACCGGAGCAGCTCCACCTCATAGTCTTTCTTTTTCTGGGGAAGGGAAAGGATTCAGGGTCAGTCTGGGGGCAATCCCACTGGAGGTCCCCTTGCCCTGCATCTAGCTGTGGCCTGGTCTCTGTCCATAGACACCTAGCGAGCCGCAGGGCTGAGGCAGTCTGTCTCCACGAGTCCAGAAACTTCACTGAGCACAGTGGCCAGTGCAGAGGCAGGGCCCCCAAGGCACAGTGGACCAACCACGGCTGAGCCAGCGGAGCGCAGATCACACACCGCCAACCCCACAGGCCAAGGGGCTACCTGGTCGCACTTCTTGTGATAGGCGTCCTTCTCCTTCTGGGAGAGCAGTTTCCACTGCTGGCTGCACAGCACCATGCGCTCTGTACTGGGCACGTCCTTCATGTTGGCCATCAGCTCGGCACAGTACAGCGAGTAGCTGTTCCTGTGGGATGCCGAGGGGAGGCGTCTCTGAGCACCCCAGGGGGTGGCCTGGCAGCAGCAGGCCTTCCCTCGCTCACCACCCAAGCTCCCTGGCTGCCCACTACCTCGCCCCGGGGCGGCACTCACGGAGGTGGTTTGGTGGGTCGCCCGTCAAACTTGTCTTTGAGCTGGCGTTCGGCCTTGGTGAGAGTGGACTTGGTGATGCCCTCCTCGCTGATGTTCAGCTCGGGGTGTTTCTGGATGTAGTCTCGCATGATCTCCTGCAGGGCGAGGTGGGGTGGGGGGTGGGAGGCGACCGGGAGCGGGGTTAGCTGGGGCGGGGGGAAGCGGGGAGAGCCGCTGGGGAGGGGAGGCAGGGAGCAAAGCTGGGGGTGGCCGTGTGTCTGCCACGTCACACACAAGACATGGGGCCCTGCCCTGCCCTAGCCTGAGATCTTATGGGGGTGGGAAGGGCTAAGGGGCAGAGGCGAGGGGCCCAGAAGGCCCCTCCCTCAGTGGAGGGACCAGGGTTGTGTGCCTTCCGCAGAACGCGGTGGCCAGGAGTCAGAGGGCAGAGGCCCGTGAAGAGCCGGACGGGGAGGAGCGCAGCGGAAGCCTAACCTCGTACTCCTTCCGCTGCTCCAGGGCCTTATGAATCCATTTCAGCCTCTTTTTGTCCGAGAGCTGAGACCACTGCTTCCCCAGGGAGTCCTTCACCTCCTTCGTAGTGGCCTGCAAACCAAAAGCCGTCAGACACGCACAGGCAGCCAGGGACAGGGGGGTGGGGAGCACAGTGGCCCCCGCCCCCTCAGGCCACCGGAGGTCACATCAGTGTCCCCCACAGGCCAGGAGGGGAAGGCAAAGAGAGGCGGGGGTTCCGCCTGGGTGCAAGGACAGGCTCATACACACACGCACGCACACGCCAGCTGGCCCAGGCCCTGTCCATGCAGCCCACCCCTGGGGAGGGGGCTCCTCTCCTGCTCCCCTGCACCGTGCCCAGCCGACCCAGCGCGGCTCCCCCCTTGCCACCACCGTGCGCCCTCCACCTCCAGCCCTCGGCCGGACACTCACATCTGGCCGCACTTTGAGATACACCTTCTTCTCGTGGGTGTACCAGAGCTGTTGGGGGGTTTTGGGCTTCTCAGGGATGTCCGACTTCTTGGCATTCTGGATTAGGTCAGGGTGGTCCTCCCTAGCCAGGGCACGGGGAGCAGTGATCAGTGGAGGCCGGGCTGTGCCCAGGCAAACCCAAACCAGCACCACCCACTGGGGCTCCTAGGCTTCTCAGCTGGGGCTTGGTAGGGCAGAGCTGTCTGTCCCAACCCCCGTAGTATGACCCATTGGGGTCCACACATGACAGATGGCAAGCTCAAGGCTTTGGCTGGGGTCGGCCTGTCCTGCCCAACCCAGGGCAGGGGGCACCCTTTGGCCCTCCTCCAGGCACCACTGCCTTACCTGAATCGGGCCAGGTTTCGCTCGAACTCCTGTTTCTCTCTCTGGAAGTCCTGAATATATTTCATCTGGGGGGGGAGGGAGGAGGGACCGGGTCAACCAGGACCCAAGGCCTACCTCACTCTGAGCTACCAGAGCCACCTGGGGCTTTCTCATTTGCTTTTGCCTCCCTCCCTGCAAGGAAGTGCAGGGACAGCCCGAGCGGACAGAAGTGGAGGTCTGCCTTCTAGTGGCCATGATGGAGAACTCTCCAAAACACCAAATCTACCCTACAACAGAATCCCTCCTTTGGGGATGGGTGACAACTGACATGGCATTATCCAATCACAGTGAACGGTGGCACTGCTGGGGTTTCCCCAGCATCAGTCAGACAAGAGCCTTGCCCCCCATCACTCTCTTCTCTGCGCCCAAGGTCCCAGCGAGGCCTTGCTTCCAGGAGGCGGGATGGCTCGGACAGGAACCCAGTGATTTTTTGCAACCCAGTGACACAAACCATACTCGGTAGTCCTGTCTGCAGTTTGGACTTTTCCACGTAGCTATGGCCCCTGGCAGCCCACATTCTCTCCTGGTCCTGACAGCACCTCCATCCTTCTGCCTTGGGCCCCCTTCCTCAGGGGTTCCTCCAGGCTCCTGCAAGCCCTCCTGCAGCCACCCCACTTATTCTCCTCTGCCACTTGGCTTACCTTCCTTCTCCTCCCCCTCTTCTCCCAGCCCGAGGCTCGCCTCCCCCTCACCACTCTCCCTGCAGCTTCCCTTCCACCATTCTAGACGGCTCCCTCTTTCGCTGCCATTTTTGTCTCCTTCCCTCCTCACCTCTTTTCCGTCCTTGCCCTTCCTCCTTACGGGCTTCATGGCAATTGAGACCAAGGCGGGTCCCCATCCCCCTAGGTGCTCAGAAAAATCACCAGCAGAGCCTGGCCTCCTCCCTCCCTTGCTGCCCCCGACCCCAGTCCTCTTTGGCCAAAGCAGATTGCTGGAGCTGAGAGACACCAAACAGGTCTGCACTCTGGATGTGGATGAAGCCCGGAGACGGAAGGTCACTGACCCAAGTGCACCAAGCACTTTGGTGGGAGTCGGAAGAACAGGCCCAAGTCTTGTTGTCCCCCCATTCCCCCAACTCTACCAGAGTTTTCTTCTACCCTCACGCTCCCAGAACCCCGCTTCACTTTTCGCCTGCCCTCCGGTGAGTGTTTGGGATCAAGTGTACAATCAGCTCTTCAACATCAGCACTAAAAGGCTTGGCCACATCGCCAGGAAGTCCCTCTTGCCCAGCTTAGACAGTGGTCGCAGGCAGGATCTTCACCAGGCCCCGCTTGGCTTGCCTTCTTTGTTTAGATACAGAACCCGGAGAGCATGTGAGCCCGCTGTTGAACTGTACACACCAGGTGAAGGGCTACTCACAGCAGGGCAGTGGTCCCACCTGCTGAGGCTGGCTGAGCATGCCTCTGTTGCTCCAACCGTGTCCTTTGGCCTCTCCCCTGGACCCCTGCCAACACTTCTGCCCGCTTTTGTTTCATTGCCCCATTTCCCATGCCGTCTCTTCCCACCCACCGCCCCACTCCACGGGCCCTCTGCAGTGTTGCTCCCTAACCTCTGTGCTCACCTGTGTGTCCATCTCTAATCGGGAAGCTGTAGCCACCTGCACCCAATAGCCCAGGACAGAGCCTGCTCCTTGCCCACGCCCACCTCCCCCCAGTCTGTACAGGGAACCAGCATGTGTCCTTAGGAGGTGTGTTTGGGGAGGGACCACATCGAGCATGTGCATGCGGCCGTGGGAAAAGCACTGGGCAGGGAGTCTAGTGTGCTAAGCCCAAGTCCATTAATTGTGTGATCTGGGGGATTTGACCCTCCTGGCCCTCAATTCCTTGCCCCTCTCCCCAGGCTACCTTTATGAGGCCACCACCGGCTGATGGGGAAGTGAGGGGCAGGCCCAGGGCAGTGGGCGAAGTGTGTGTGTGTGAGGAAAACAGCACAGAAACTGAACACTGGGCTGGTCGGTGGGATCCAGGATCGTCCAAGCTCGGGCTCAGTCTGGGCTGGCTGTGTGTGGCCTGCCTAAGGCCCTACTATGCCGGGCTGACTTGCCACTGCTCCTGATGCCACCATGCCACCACCACCCACCCTCCTGCCAGCCCCCTCCCCCCACCTTCTTCTTCTCGGGAAGCTCCTTGTATTTCTTGGAGAGAATCTTGGTCAGGTCCAGGTTGCTCATCTCAGGGTGGAGCTTTGCGTACTTGGCCCGCTTCTCCATGAAGAAGCGGAAGTAAGGGGTCAGGGGCTTCTTTGGGAAGTCTGGGTGTTTCTGGAAGGAGGGACAAGGACACGGTGAAGATCACGTCCCGGCACCCTATGTTCGGACCATCCTTCCCCTTGTGTGCTGCCTCCTGGAAACTCACCTTGAGCTTTTTGCCTTTGTAAGGATTTTTCACATGTTCCTGAGCGTCGAGGATCAATTCTGTCAACGTGCGGAACTTCCTTACCTAATGAAGGAGGTGGATGGACAGGGAAAGGAAGTCAGAAGGGGGAGCTGCCACCTCCTATGACACCCTGCTCTCCAACATGTCCCCTCCACTCTCCCCTGGACTCAACGTGTCAGGGACAGAGACTAGCAGCCACCACAGCTCCCCAAACTCGGGCAGACATCGTGGCACTGGCCCATGCCTACTGTAGAGGCCCAGGCAGCCGGGTACACATAAAAAGATAGTATGGTCTTTGATGGCCAGGAGACAGAAGCCCCAAGACAGTAAGTAGTCAAGGCTGCACAGCCAGGGGCAGCACTGGAAAGTTCTTGTCTAATGCTGCCAACTGTGCCCTCCTCCACCCCCACCCCCCGCCAATGCACAAAGGCAGGTAGGAGAGGCAACAGGAGCCCATGTGAGCTCCTCTCCTGGTCTCCTTCCTCACTACAATCTTGACTATATTACACACACACACCCACCCCCCCAGCAGGAAGAGTAAGTGTATGCATATAGACATGGGCAGCGTCAGTTACCTCGTTAGAAATTTCCACCCATTTGAGTTTGCACATGTCTCCAGAAAAGTCTTTAAATGCTACTTTTTCCCAGTCCATGTGTGACTCGGTGGTTTTGAACTTGGAGCTGTCATTGGACGGAAGGTTGTTCTTCATACATTCCAGCAAAGTCAGCATGTCTTCCTGGGACCAGCGGTCTGGTGAGGGCGACAGCGGACCATCACATGTGGCTCATGCTAACTGGGCATCTGTGGCCCAGTCCTTGTGCGTGCAGCTCTTCCCTGCCAGCACACCCCAGGCCAATGGGCCCCTTCCCCGGGGTGACGCAGAACTGTCCCAGCCCTAAGGACAAGCTCTGGCCACAGTGGATTAAGGCAGGAGGATCCCTGTTTCGGGGTAGGTGCTAATCCTGGGCATGTCACACCTAGAAAGCTACACTTGAACCCAGGTTTGGCTTCCTTCAATACGATGACTGCTGCTGACATGCCTGGCTGCCTGTCAGGGAGCAGCTGTGCGGTATAAGGAACAAGGCACAGCTGAAGGGATCTGAAATCCTGTGGGAAAGCAGCTAGCGTCTAGCTTATCAGAGAGAGGGAAGGCAGCAGACCAACACAGCTAAATGTGTGGCCAAGTTCAAGTTCTTACAAAGATGCAGCATCGGGCGTGGGCAGTAAAGAAAGCCCATGCAGATGTTTTTCTGACCAGCACAGCTGGAACCTAACACCAGAGACACAATATTCCAGCCTCCCCACTCTAGCACATGGACCCATAATCTTCTCTCCACCCCTCCTCAAGGCAGACCAAAGGAGGATTTCTGGCAAGTAACAAACTAGGATGGAGGTGCAGAAAACCATGCAAGGCGGCTCTGGCTCTGAGGCAAGGTGGGCAACGGGGCAGACTCAGGGCTCAACATCCCCCGGAGGCAAAAGGGGGGCCTGGACCAGTGAAATGCAACCCCTATAAAACTTCTGGCCCCTCTCTGGAGAGCTGGGAGAACAGCTGTACAGGGGGGCAGGAGTCAAAAGGGTTCCTCATTCTGCTTGCATCTGGTTACTTGGGCCAGTGCTTCCCAGCACAGGGTCACATGGACCCATAATCCTCTCTCCATCCCTGCAGGCACTGCCAGATGCTCCATTTCAAGTCCACCCCCCTCCTCCAAAATAAAGACTGGATTCCTACAGGAGGAAACAGGGTCTATGCGTGTACGAATCTCCTCTGGCTAAGAGCTTCAAAACCTCATGGCTTTCTCCATAGACCTTACCTTCCAAACAACAAAAAGCTTGAAAATCCTTCCTAGACTCGCCCTCCCACCCCGGCTCCTCCCTCATCCTTCCTCCCATTCCAAGTCTCAGGGCAGGGTCAATCCAGGCTCGCTGCCCCCCCCAACCCACCCCCATCCCCCAGAACCTCTTTCTCCTCCGCTGACATGGAGAAAGGGAAGCGTGAAGAATACAATTTGTAGGCTCGAGGCCAAATCATTTGGATTGAGCCCAAAGGGGCTCCTGGTATCGTCCAGGTACTGAAGACCACCTCCCCATCTCAGTTCAGAGAGCAGACCCGCCAAGCATTCTGGAAGGGGAGTGGGCCTGGCAGACAGCCAAGTGAAGCCAGGTTTTAGGTTAGACAGGCCTGGGGATGGGCTATCCTACCTTGGCCTTTGGGAGCGGCCATTTCCAGGTCTGTGGGGCAATCGGCTTCTCCGTTCATTCTCCAGCCGTCCAGCCACCTCCTGGGTCGTGCTGGCGGGGCAAGCTGGGGTCAAGGCCACCTCACCCTGAAAAAGAGAAAACAGTCCCCCATTCAGGCAGGCTGAGAGATGAGGGACTTTCTGTATCCAGGCGCCCCCTCCCTTCAAGGGGGAGGGAAGCACAAGTTCCCACTCGCAGGGTGGCCCTGCCCAGACCCTAGTAGGAGTAGATTTTATGAGTTGGTGGGCGTGGGAGTACTTAAGGGGTCCAGCAGTTCCTCCTCTGCTTCCTAATCCCCTCCCCCAGATTCCACAGTCCTGCTTTCCAGCGTGCGCCCTCCCTTGCCCACGCGCGAGACTGCTCCCAGCTCCCGCGTGCAGCGAGCGCCCGCCCTCTG